CTAAAGCACCAATCAAGTGTGGCGATAAGAGACACATTGTGACTCCAAGTGGCCAGATGACTGTGGACATGACTACAGAGAGCAGTACACCTGTCCAAGCCTTAGACACGGCTAACAGTGCAACCCCAGAATGGCCTTTAACCTTCTCCGTGCACATGATTAAAATACAGGGTAAAAGCTGACAGTTTTTATGCATGTATGCATGAGTACGTGTGTGTGAAAGTGAACATTGTTCCGGCTGAAAAGCTTCTGGACAATAATCTGTCACTTTAATGAAAAGCGCGCGGGCCGCATGTGATGTGTGGATGATATATGATGACCAAATGTGGATAAATCAGCAACTTTTACAGTTACACTTTTAAAACAATGACGTGTTGCATCAATTGAAATAGATCTAGTAAGGAGAGAGAGGCTGTGCTGCTCTTTTTTTTGTCTCGAGTTCACTGAAATGTTTAATAATCCCTTTTTTTCTGCTTATGCCACGTCTGGAGAAAAGCAGCAAGGCAAAGAAGAAATAAAAGAAAACTTAAAGATGAGACTTAGGAAGTTTTGAGGGACTGGTAGCTTTCACACATTTTTCTTGAAAGAACAAGAATATGAAAAGGATTGAAAAAGCCCGTATACAATCTGCAGGATACAGTCATCCTGCAGTGGAATCCACATATCATAGTCTATAAGTGGCCCAATCAAAAAAGACGAGCATCTAACGGCAGATTCCACTTGAGTATCCAGCCCCAGGAAGCTCCAGCAATGCTAGCTTTTCACCCACATGTGAGCACACGAGAACACACAGAGTCGGGTGGAAACAAACTTTCTATTTTATTGTACTTTTTTAACTTCCATTTTAACTGCACACTCACCCCAGTTTCATCGTAATGATTTTCTTCAGAACAACCTCTCAAAGACACCGTGGGTTGAGTCTCAAATTAAGTCGATTAGTCATCTTCCACTACCACTTGCACCTATACCCAAGCCATTTAAAATCAGCACTGAATAGCCGCCTGCACGAACCAAGTATCTGACATTACACAGAAATAAATTCAGCAAAAAGGGTCATAAAGTTGACTCGTCAAACACATAGGACAGAAGATCTCCAATAACTAGAGGCTTACTTTTAAGCATTAATGCTTTCAACTGCAAGTAAGAAGGAAAAAAAACTTGGTAAAAGGGCTAAGTGACTTTGTGAAGTGACCTTTACATCAATTTCAAGCTCTAGTTCAGAGCTATATCACACATGATAATTGTTAGGTCGGGTGTCACTAAAGACATCTGAAGTAATTGCTCTTAAAGACAAAGACATTTACTCCTTCATAGATCCCATTCCACCCCACACTTTCCATAATAGATCATCCAAGACAAGGGCATTACACAATGCACCTCTGGCTTGTGCTGTGTTGCACACTCTCTGTGTTTTCCTTTTCTCTGTCTTTCTGTCAAACACGACCATTAAACATGCAGCTGTGTGATTTCCCTAGATATGTACATGCACACGCCAGCTTGGGAGTCAGCAAGGCTGTGATGAGATCTTGCAAAGAAGCCAGAAATGACCAGAGAGCGCCTGGAGAGATGTTTTCAGAAGGACACAGTTAAAAAGCTATGGCTGCGTTATAGATTCAATAAGTATCTTACACCTGTGTGGCTAACCACCATCGATCCATCATTCTGTGGAGCCCAATCCAATTTAGAGTGTTGAGGAGCCCCAGAGCCCCAGAGCCTTATCCTAACCCAGGCCACAGCCATCGTAAAGCCTGCTTACCTTCATCTCCTAAAGTCTGCTGGTGTTTCTGTGTACTTTTATGTCTATGTGTGTACGTGTGCTCGGGGAGACTGCAGACCTAGCTAAACACCTTAGCTGCTGGCTCATGTTAAAGTGTGCTGAGCCAATTTAGGGGTAGACCAGGAGACAAGATGTGAGAGACAGAGGATGCTGAGGAAAATTAAGGGACTCAAACTGGGGCCCAACCTCAAATCAAAGAGTGCATGAAAGCGAAGGGGAAAGGGATAAAAAGAGAGAGACTGCATTCATTTGTGTGCAACAAACAGTGTAGGAGACTGCAAACCATCTTCTAATCCTGTTTTCTATTCCGTGGCAATCAAACTCATCATGACTACAAAGCACTATAACCATTATCAAACTACTCCACAGTCTCATCACACTGTGATAGGCAGCATTCTAAAAATCTGCCATCTGATTTGTTTGGCACCGACAACAGAGTGGTGTACTCGAGACTCCCTTGGTGCAAAAACTTAATGGCACCATGCATGTTCAGATTGACCATTCAAATCTCTCTCCTTTACCACTAATTACAGTATCTTCTGGCGCAGATGTTTCTGTTTTAATTCTCTTTGCTGCTCCACTGGAGTGAAGCAAGACCCCTGAGATCAATTATTAAAGGGTATTTAAAACAGTGGGAAAAGGAGGTGGTAGCGTGGTGTGAAAGTGAAAGCAGCTGTTTAAGTGCTTGTGCCGCAGACTAAACTTCATCACCTCCCAAATAAACAGAGAGCATCCTGTGGGTTTCACTCACTCCAACGACTAAACTCTGGGCAATTAAGGCCTGGATCTCTGTAGGAGTAAAGGAGAGAAGGGAAATGGGAAAGAAGGGGTGAGGCAGGAGCAGTGGAGACACTCCATACCAATAACAGGCAATTATGTATGGGGAGGGCCATTGCATGGCCATGAGTGTATAGAAGAAGACAGCGGGGATATGGGATGGTAGGGAAATGAGGAGGAGTGCTATTTAGGAGGCAGATGGCAGAGAGGGAGAAATTAAGATGAATGGGCACTGAGAGGGCTGAGCTGGTGCTGGGGCTGGGCAGAGAAAAGTAATTAGCTGTGTTTGCTCTGGGAGGCTGGCAGTGAGTATGATGCCTGCAGTGACAGGCTAAAGCCTTGAGCATTATTAATCAACACGCCATGTCTGAAGCTGCCAGTAGGGGGCAGCTGGGTCAGCAACCTTCCAGCAACTTCTTACCTGCACCACACCCCATGGGGTCTTTTGCACCACATGGACACTGAGCAGCAGCTCCTTTACAGTTCACACTGTTATTATTTACTCTAATCCCCTGCTAATAGTACAAAGCTTTGGCTTGTTCCCTCTTAGAGTTACTGGCTCACTCACTTGCTCTCTCTCTCACACACACACACACACACACACACACACACACACACACACACACACACACACACACACACACACACACACACACACACACACACACACACACACACACACACAGTCCATTTTTCTCTCTCACATTATTCCTAACTTTCGCCCTTACCAAGTGGCTCTATCTCACGCCATTTCTCTCCATTTCTTATGTTACAGCCACATCTGTCTCTTTCCTCCCACCCTATATATATCCCTCCCCCTCATCCCTTTCCAATCTAATTTCAGATAAGCTGTAGCAGAACAACAGAGCCAGGCCCTTTATCATTGCCATCAATGATGTGGGTGGATTGAGCGTGAATAATTTTATTCATGTGTGCCTGCACTTGGCCGACTGGGATTCCAATTACAAATAATAAGAGGTAATAGGGTTACAGAATAAATTTTTAAGTGCTTTGGTGATGATTGCAGAACCTTTGACAAAAGAAAGCTGTTGTTTACAGCTAAACGCACAATATCTGTTCACAAGTATGAGTAATATAGGATAACTGAATTTAGCATAATTAGTAGCCAATCCAATCGCCATTCTAAGGACATCATACAGATAGATGTCTTAACATTAAAACAATAATATGAACGTACTAAATGACGATGATGAATATTAAATACCTGAAGCAATCTAGGCTACAAGTGGCTTATATCCAACGTGTATCATAGCACTTTATCTGTATGCCTCAGCACTCTTCAGAAACACACAGTCCATAGGTCAGACTTGATAAATTCCAAAGAAAAATGTTATTCTCTCCTGGATTTAAAGAATGTGAAAGAACCCGGCTACTACAAAAACACTGCATTCAAAATGCTTCACTTACTACACAATTTAGGAGCCTTATCAAACTGAGCCACCAGAACAGCCCACACACTACTTTCAGAGAATTTCAATCCTAACTTTCTTAACATCCACACATAGCACCGACTCAAATTGCTTTACCAATAGTCTTGCATAATTGCAGAAAGAACACGCAAGGTCACAAAAAGCGAAAGGAACAAATAACAAGGTGACTTAACACACAAAAAGGCAGGACATATACGAATTTACAATATAACACATGCAAGAGCAGTTTAAGGCTGATTTCCAAGAGCAGATGAAAGATAGCGCTGAACGTGCTTTAGGCTTTAACAGTTTTTTTTATCTTGTGTTTTTACCATAATTAACAGGCCTGAGGACCTGGCGGAAGGAGCTGGGGCTGATCGTCTGGTGGTGGTTATCTGTAAGGAGGGCAGCGGACAAATAATGCCAACATGTACAGTACTAAGTGGGATTAGAACGATGATGTGACGGCATTGGCCCAGTGATGAACAGCTGTGAAGTGAAGTTCATTAGCAAGAAATAATGTTTTTCGAGGTACAGCTAATAAGTTTAAGGTGCCAGTGTCAATGTTTAGTCACCAATCATTTCCAAACGCGTTCAAATCACATCTTGGATTTACATTTAATTTTTCACATCTTTCGTTTGGAATTAAGAAACCCAGAGGGGGGAAAAAACAAGATCCACACATCAAACAGTTGTAGGAATTGTGTCAGCTGAAGACTCTCTGGCGCTGCGCTGCTGGCAAGAATGTGTACAAACAACAAACCAGTGTATTTTGCAATTTACTGAGAATGAGAGAAAATGAAGCTAAAACATAAGAACCTGAGGATGCATTCAATTTGCTCAACTTTTAAAAACAAAATAAGAAAAAATATAAATGCATGAAGGTGACAGGTTAGAGCTAGAAGTCATTATTTAAACATCTGATTGGAATTCCATCAGTGTTTTGCCAGACAGTGTGTGTACTTGGTTTCTGTGTGTGTGGGTCGTTCTGTATAAATGTGGGATATTAGACTCACCTCTGGGTCTTGGCGCTCTCTTCCTGCGGTCTCTGAATGCAGCTCCTGACTGTAGGGCTTCCAGCAAACTATCCATCACACCTGTCTCATCATTCTCTAAAAATGCCCAAAAAAAAAGAAGAAAAAAAAAAGGGATTTTAGAAGAAATGCAAGAGGGGAAGAAACTAAATTCTATAACGTGTAATTTTGTTTAGTTTGCCTATACTGACTGTGTCAATTTAGAGTACATACACATTACATTATGCCTACTATAAGGTTATATGTCCAATATATGAAGAATCTAGGTCCAAGGCCTGCATACTGTAAGTCAGCAAGTTCTTATAAACAGCCACAGAATTTCATGTAATTTTTAAAGTGGTCTTAAACAAAAGCCTTCAGCCTTTCAGAAGATATTTCAAAATTTCTTTTGGAATTGGCTCACTCACTATCAGTCCAGTCCTTGTAGCTGACCATCTTTAGAGGAATGTTTTGTGTGTGTGTGTGTGTGTGTGTGTGTGTGTGTGTGTTTGTGTGTGTGTGTGTGTGTGTGTGTGTGTGTGTGTGTGTGTGTGTGTATTGAACTACTTAACACTGATCTATGAATCATTCAAGCACAAAAAAGGTACCAAAAAGGATGAACCAGTGTTGTGTCTACATGCATTAAACTGTATCTTTAGGCACTTTGTTACTAGCAGCCTGTCACTAAGACACATCATTTGTTCCCATCTTTGTGCCCTTTAGTTGATGCATCTACTGTTCATCAACAGTTTCAGTGAACTGTTGGCTGATAATACGCCATTTTTAAGGGAAACTGGATGAAAACGTTGAGGAATGCCAAATTACACAAGAATTGGTCTGCACAAAGTAAAATATTTGTATCAAATCGTCATCAATATGTACACTCAGAAAGTCAGGAGACAGGAAAAACACTGAGTGTCTGTAGCCAGGTTATGGAGGCTCTGTCATGGTTTGGGCATGGAGTTAAACCAATAGTGTTAGGAACCTTGTCAAAATGAATTAATCACAAATAGGAGAAAAGTACCATCAGCTATGATCCACGATTCAATACCAACACCTGATTGGCAACAGCTCAATTTGTTAACACGACAATGATCCCAAGCACACTGCCAATGTAAGCAGCGTGGGATCATCAGAGAACAGAACAAAAGGCAGCCAACACCCAAAGAAGAGTTTTGAATGTTCTTCAAGAAGCCCGGAGAACTATACCTGAAGGCTACTTAAAGAGATGACAAGAAAGCTGCCTAAGAGAGTACAAGTTCTGTTTTGCCTTATATACTGCTCCATTAATGTCTGGAGATTCAGTAAATCACTAGCAAAATAAAAGAAATAAGAAGTGGTTCAAGAGTATAAGGGAATGAACAGAATGTTATGAAACTGAAATACATCAAAGTTGTGAACATCGTGTTTCAGAGTATTTAATTATTTTTTTTTGACTTAAAAGATCGAATCCTTGCTTTGTAGTAGCAGAGAAACTACCAGAATGCTGATAATGTGTTGAAAGGGAAATACTTTGACATTTAAATCATGGTGTTTTTGGTTGGTGGAACTGAAAACCTGGCCCTGACACCTGAGGGAAATGATAGACCTGACCAGTAATATGCGTTGAAAATAGAAAGAAAAACAGCCAACAGCCAGGTATACTATATGGGCATGTAAAGGGACAAAATACACTGTGTTTGCCATGCTAATGTGTGTGGGGGTGTTTTCTTTTAAATGCTGTGGTGTGTGTTGCCTATAAAATTTTAATTGTTTTGTCAAGCTTCCTTGCAAATATGAAAAGCTTTTCTCCCTTAGTTCAGGTCACGTTATTTTCCTCTACGTACAATCAGACATGAAGTATGTGGTTTTCTATATCCAAGTCATTTTTTAATAATTAATTACTGAGTGGCACTGTTTATCCATCAGCTGTTTCTCTGTCTAAGTTAAGCACTAACCAAAGGTTAACTTAAATATTAACTTACTGGATGTACTTAACAAACACCATATTGCATCATATTTATAAAATGCAACATAGCAAGTCAGGTTACAAAAAGCTTTTTAATTGCTTTTCTTAATTCTATTGTGACATGCAAACAATAACGCTGGCCTATTCAGTGAAGTTCACTGACCACAGGGTTGCATAACTTTGACAATCATATGACATTTTTTTAAAAATATTTTTACATTTCAAATGAAAATAAGCACTGTTTAACTGTTGCTTTACTTAGGCAAGTACAAGTCAACTTAATCAGAGTGCAATGCCCTAGAAAAGTTGGTACAGCTTTTTTTCATAAGCTACTTCATAGCTTGGCCAAGATGTACCATCAGCCAAGGTGTGACTACTGAGTCCCACCACTGATTTAGTGAAAGGTAGGAGGACTTTGCTTTGATTAAGGTTCTGTGTATTTTTCTCACTCCTTCATTTTGCCTGATTCCCCGTGGAAAAAGAAAATAAAATCAAATTCTATGACTGCAACTGGGACTCTGCAACTCTACTTGGACCTTTATTGGTCCAAAGGTCCTGGCATTCTACGATGATATGAAATATTTAATATTCATATTAAAGCACATATGGGTACAGTAATCCCATTTGTGCATATGTTGGCGACAGCATTATAGTCCAGAACAGTAGCATGTAACCTAATTATTGTAATAATTGATGCACTCAGGTGCATTTAACTTTAAGTTTATTAGCTAGACCAATCAAATATGACCCATCAACTATAACTCTTTTTTGGGTGGGTCTAACACAGGGGTCAGCAACCTTTAACACCCAAAGAGCCATTTGGACCCGGTTTCCACACAAAAGAAAACACTGGGAGCCGCAAATACTTTTTGACATCTAAAATGAAGATAACACCGTATATATTGTTTTTTTACCTTTATGCTTTGTGTGAACAACTAAGGTGTGTTGCTTGTGAAATTCATGAAGTGCTACAGAGAAAATTACATTTTATTTATGTAATTAACACATTTTGAACTCTTAAAGAAATATAACAAAAGGAAAGACACCCAGCTGAACTAAAATGATCCATGTAGCAAACAAAAACTGTTGTGAGCTGCCACCCTTATATCGCCTTTGGGCTTTTGAAGCCTTGATCTGACTTTTAAAAAAAATAATAATAATTGGAAAAACAGTACTATGCTGCTAAAAAAAGAAAAAAAAGAAAAATAGATATTTGCAAAATTCTGCCTAAATATGTATTTTACCTGGTTAATGTGTGTAGCAGGGCATGGTCTGCAGCGCCGCTGCAGGGGAGGCGAACGCACCTGAGCGGCACCCACAATCACGCCTCGCCGCCTTAACCTCTGTGCTATCTGTGTTGGTGTGTGTCGTGCTGTGAGCTGAAAAGCTACAGCCGGCTGTAAGCGTACAGCAACCGTGTGTGAAAAGTGGCCTTTAAAGAGGTGCTGAAAAGCATGTTCATGCAAACATCATCGGGTCTGCTATGGTATGTTTACAATGGGACCTCTGCTCTTGAACCTCTGCGCACAGTGTCTGTACGAAGTCACTTCATCTTACGCAGGACTGTAAGCTGTCGTCTGTGAGGCGTGAGCGGTCTTTGTTTTTAACATAGTCCACGGTGGAGAACAGCTGCTGACATAATGTGGATCCGAAGATCCATAATTGGCCTACCTGGGGTTGAAAGTCTCGATAAATGCACGCCGTTTCGGCGGGTAAACCGGCTTCCGCGAGTGTGACGCTTATTTTGAGCGATGAAAAAAATAATAGAATATAATTTTATTTTTATATGTCAATATCACAATAATCTTCCAATTTAGAACTACAAGTTAAAAAAGAACTAACATAAATAAATTACATTTCAGCTAAATACTTCTAATTTATTTTCCCAAACCATGCAGTGCTGCACTATAAGGACTCAAGAGCTGCAGGTTGCCGATCCCTGGTCTAACATTTGCTATTGAAATGTCAGACACCAGTTTTGAATTCCATATAGAGTTACAAATCTTTTTTCTATTTTTGTATTCATTATTATAGTCAGTCAATCAACAGTATGTCTTATCAACCACCTTCTGCATTGATCACATTGATTAACTCTCCCCACGGTTATTTTGGATTGCAGTATTAAGTAGAAAGAATATCTGCAAGAAACATCTTGGTTATGCTTAAAACTAGCCTAGGAAAAAGGAATTTTGAGATACCATTTGAGAGTCAACTAACTTTAGTGAAGAACAAGAACTGATCTGCAAGCTCCAATATACTGACCTTTAGTGAGTTGAGGGTGTCTCAAAGGATATACAAAATAATACTTCTTTTTTTTTTAAAAATGGCACAAGAAAATCCTATAGCAAGCAAGTGTTTCTGCCGACCACACAGTGATTGATCCGCTCTGCTGCTCTGAGACTAGCCAGCTTTATAGACTGTAACAGAATACATAATTAAAATTTAAAACTGACTAGAACTGATAAACCTGTAGCTCCTTCCTTCTTTCTCTCTTAGAGAAAGTCATTTTTCACACAAACTGCTTTATATGAATGTGAAAAAAGATTTAAGAACTGTTAATGATTGCTGAGACTGTATTCAATGTTTAACCACGTCTAACATGCCTACAAGGTTTGTGCTTCTTTTTCCATCTGAAACACTTTCACGAGAGATTACCTGTAACCATCTTGGGGCCTACAAACTGAAATTGTCTTATTATACTTAAAACTAAACTAAAAAAAAGTGCCAATAGGCTCAGGGTTTTGTATTGAGGACAGAAGATCCCAGTGGTAGTTGGCTATGGTTGTACCAAAGCCCTTCACCAAGCTGTGACTACAAACACACGCACAGAGTAGATGTATAATGGTCCACTTCCTTGTCTGTCTGCTCCAATGTGTGCGTTTGTTGTGCTTTTCATTTACAGCAGTTGCACTCCTCTGGCTGATATGTGCCTAGTTCTTCATCATTACGCAGAGCGTAGAGGCAGCTACAGTTTCTGAGCAAAACCAACGCCCCTCGACGTCCAAATTTGTCTCCAGTGCTGTAGCAATTCATCACAGACAGCAAGCTTTGCGCTCGCTACAACACACACAGACGCACGAGAGAGAAAAAATACACACAAGACAGAAAACAAGCAAAAAGGAGAAGATCAATCTATTGCAACCTGCAGTGT